GCAAAATCCTCCCATACCCAGTGAGCTCCCCTAGCTCCTCTGTGGCCATGTTAGCACCTGAAACATGTACCATTACTGAGGCGGTGAGCACTGATGTCAAGCTCTGGGAGATGGGCAATGGAAATAAAACTGTGGGCTTGTAGCTCACCTTTCTGAAGCAAATACAATGAGGATGGCCAAGGCTGTCCTACTTGTTGAAGACCAACATGAAACAACACCCTCTGCACAGAAAGAGGCGTGAACACCAACAGGGAAGTCTTCAGGCCCTGTATTTTCACTGAAGCAAGATGTAAGCATTTCAAAAATAACTAAATGTCAAATTCTTCCCTCAGTTAAGAAGGTCCCTTCAATAGCAACCAGGGATTCTACACAATGCCAGTGATTTGTGACCATCTGTGTGCAGAAGCCAGTGTTTTCCAAGGTTGTGTCAGTGCATCAACCTGGCAAGTCCACAGACACTGCTGCCCAAGACTGAAGTAAAAACAAACCAAGTAAGCAGACCATCGTCTGGGTGTAGACGCCCAAACCCCCAAACGAACAAAGCCACACACTTGAATCTGAGGTCAGAAAACTGTCCTCTAGAGGGAGAAATTCAAAACATGCTCGAAGAAAGGATGTTAACCCCATTTACCTTTTTATTTCCTCCATTTAACACATATTTACAGAGCAAGGCTGAGGACTGAACAGTGCATCAAACAAAGTCTCGTCTCCTGGAACTTGCTCTGGGACGGGGAGTGTCTTCATGGAGACTTGCCTTCTGTGCTGCCCATGGAGACCTGGCCTGCGGTCTTGGTGCTCTGTGTACCTACTGCCCCACACCTCGAGTGTGCACCGCCCCACAAGAGCCAACACCACCAGACCACAACCTGTGTCTCTTAGTTCAGATATAAAGGGCGGAGCATGCCAGTGTCACCAATTAGACCCCAAGACCTGACCTTTACTGCCCACCTGCTTGTACCCACTGACCTTCAAACCCATGTTTTCCCTGAAGCTCTTCTTTCCAGCTGATCTCTTAACTCGGGCCAAAACCCGACAGGTAAAGCATCCCATGAAGGATGCTAAAACTGCTCCCTGCCTGCCGCCCCCCTACCCTGGGCAATAACAACTGCTTGGACCACCCGGGGCCAGTGCCTCAGCCCCCAACTCAAGGACTCACGCCTGTGCACATGGACCTCGGAACGGCCAACTGATACTCTGACCTCATTATGACACTAAGACCTCTGCCCAAGGAGGAGTATTAGTCTTTCCTCGAGGTGCACGCGTGACCTTGTGCCCACCTCTGCATATAGTGACAAGGCTCCTCTTTCTGAGGATTCATCCTAACCCTAAACATAAGGACTCCATCCACCCTTGCTCAGGGAGTCACGGCTTTGGAACATATTCCCTGGGATATCCTTATTTGGAGCAAATAGTTTCCTTTGTGCAACAGCTTACCTGGTGCAGTTTCCATGTGTGACTCACCGAGGTGGAACTCAGGTCCGATCAGTTACCAGAGGTCAGAGGACAAGTGGTGGTGGATCACTCAGGGGCACCCAGGGGCAACCAGCTTTTATCTCTGGATATTTTAAATCTTTGGAGCCATGGCTCATGGGAGACACTGGGGAGAAAGGATCAAGGCAAACCTACCTTCTTGGGCCAGCCTCTCAGGTAGGGTTACGGGGGAAGCACATCCCCCCAGAGAAGGCCAGGTGCCTTGCTTTGGGGCAGGCCCCACAAAGCGTGTTGCCTGGCAAAGGAGACTAGCCCACTGACAGGAGATATTAGAGCTTCACAGAGACAGTAGTCTTTCCAGAGACTACATTCCCCATCTATTGGCAACAGCTGCTGTGGTAGACTCTAAAGAATGGCCACAAATTCCTTGGCACTCTTCCATCAAGGTAGCCCTATTGCTTTGTGCTCCCGGAACTGGGGCTTGCCTGATGGTTTGCTATGATCAGTTAAACATGGTGGGAGCTATAATGCATGAATCCCAAGCCTACAGGCACCTCACAGCTTGCACTCCTGAAAACATTTCTGTCACCATGCAGGTAAGGCACAGATAACTCCCTGGATGGTGACATTCCACATGGAAAGAGGTTCTAGCTGGGGTTCGAAACATGGAAAACATGTCATCCTAGACCACTAGCCTCTCTAGGCCAGCCCAGACCAGAAGAGTCTCTCAAGCCAATACTCAAACATGCATTCAGAATTTGTTGTTTTAAATTACTAGGTTTGGAGTGGTTACTTACCAAAACCAATTGATATAATTATAGAAGACAGGGTATTTGGAAGCTGAATACAAATAACTTACAAAAATAAACTGAATTTTAACTCTTCCTGAAAGGTATGCATTGGTGGGTAACGCAATTCACGAAGCAGCCCACCCAACTCGGGGTACGTGGCAGCAATGTGATTCTTTAATTTCTGACTCTGACTCTGCCAGGCTTATCAAAATAACACACCTGCATGGAAATGAGTATGATGGTTATACCTGATTAACAGAAGCACTACAAGGGCCAAGACCAGGCCATCCCAGATGGGCCACTGTGGCATGAACATCATTTTGAGTTAAAGGCAATCCAAACCCAGCAGATTCAGGAAAAGCTCTTTATGGCCCCCGTAACTGCCTGCCCATACCAGGAAGAGAGCTATTAACACTCCTTTTCACCTGAGACTCTTCTCTACAGGATAAGCAACCCCTGTTCCCAGACCTCTTCCCCCTCCCCACTGCTAATGGTCCCTCTCCCCTTTGTGCCCCAGCCCCAGCCCCTCTCCTGTGCTCATATAAGCATCACGTTGCCTGTGTTTGGAATTTCCTTATCTGTGGATTCCCCGTAAGTGTACCGTTAAGTCGGATTTTCACCAGTTAATCTGTCTCATGTCAATCTGATTCTTCGTCCAGCGACAAGGACCCAGGAGGGCCAAGGAGATTCTTTCTCCTGGATACAACAATCTCAACTTTGAGAAGCTTTAAATATACTGAAACCTCTACAAAATGTCACTTCTGAGTTCCTGATGTATAAAGCGACCCAGACTCTTAGACCTATAATAGGGTGTATCTTAGAGAAGCGTCACCTCTTATTTATGACTCAACAATAAATGTATGCTTTCTTCTTTCTTGGTCCTAGTGCTGGTGGATAAAGATCATTAAGCAGGTCAAAAAAAGAGGCTTTGAAAAAAGTTTTAAATAGTCCAGTTCTTCCTGTTCTTTTCTCCTCTCTCACCCCTCCTTTCCTTTCTTTCTTTTAAAAATTTTGAACCTTTTATGAGCCTAAACTGCAGTGGGTGTGTTTATCAAAGGATGTCTACATGGTGGAAACTCTTGCAAGCACCTGGCTGGAAGAGATTTGGGACCCCAACTAACCTCCCAGATCTTCAACCCCTTTCCTGCAGGTGATTCATCAAAGACTACCAAGCAGAGTTAGGAAATGCTGCCAAAGAGAGCCAACGGCCAACCACTAGCTCTCCAGGGTTCAAAGGTTGCCTGTTTTGGACTACCTTCCTGGCAGAGGCTGCCTCTGGCTAAACACAAATGACTTGGGAAGTTGGGACAGACAGGTCCTACCAGTTTTAATTACTACTGCCCTGATGAAATGGTATTTGATTTCCTCCTCAAATAAGACCTCAAAAGAAGCATTCGGGGCTCCCTGAGTTCAGATACTATGAGTCTATGCACTAGATACTTGCCATCAAACACTCACGCAAGAGACGCAAGAGAAGCTGGTGTGCCTGGGGCCCGAGGCAAGAGGATTGGAGGACAGCCCTGACCTCCAGCTGGTCCCCTCCCCACTGCCCCATGGGTCACTCTCTCGCCCCCTCCTTCCCTCTTCCCATGCAATGTGTTTTGCAATTAGGCACCACCAGAGCCTAGAGGTTTCCTTTAGGTTCTTCAGAGCCTGCACTCTACCTCAATAATCTCATTTTCTCTGTAGCATCCTAACTTCCTGATGAACATCCTAAGCACAAATAAACCTCCTGCTAAAGTTTAAATTCATTCTCTTGTCCTTCCTTTTATGACATCAAGAGCAGGAAAAACTTCTAAAGATACTTTAATATGAAAATATTAGAAAAGAGAGAACATATTCATGCATTACATATAAAATAAGTAACTTTAAAAAATCATACTCATTCCAATGCCATTTAGAAAATCAGTGCTTTCTAAAGTATTATACGGGTCTAAAAATATTCTTTAAATATATATACACTTATATGCAGTTACACATTTTTGTTATATTCAACTGGTTTTGCCAACATTACCAGTGCAATCTATTAGGGAATTTTTCAAAATAAAAATGCTATTACTGCTGATACAGAAAAATCCCATGCTACATGCCAGGTTCTCTGCATGGTGAATGCTCAGTCCTCCTCACGGCCATCCCGAGTGCTCAGGCCTCTCACTCCAAGAAGGTGGGCTATGATGAGGAGCTGACCTACTGGAGGCTAACTGCCCCCCCCTGGGCCCAGGCAGAATGGGGCAGAGGCAGTCGTGGTCTGGTTTGTGCTCTGCAGCATTCAGCCAGCCTTTCAGAAGAAGAATGGAAAGGCCATGTTGTATCAGAATTTTATTTTAATTTTTAAAAAATATTTATTTTTTAAAAATATTTACTTTTATTTTAGAGAGAGTGAGAGAGTGATGTGTGTGCACACGTGATGGTGGAAGAAGGAACAGAGGGAGAGAAGCACACTCCCCACTGAGCACAGAGCCTAACCCAGGGCTTAATCTCACGACCCTGAGATCATGCCCTGAGCGGAAAAATCTCGAGTTGGACGTTTAACCAACCGAGCCACCGGGGCACCACTGTATCAGAATTTTTAAGGAGAGACAGGAGAATACCACTTTCCAAATAAAAGGAGAAGCTCAGAAGCACTGTTTCCAAGGATCTTAGTGCTACCAAAGCCATTCTTGGTCAGCTTGTTAAATAGGCAAAGTCAAAGTCTGGTCAGCAACATGGAATATTGTGCATAATACTTGACTTTCAGAAAGTATAAGGAAATATTCTTCCAAACATTACACTTCTTACCTCAATGTCAAATATTTCCACGGTGTTGTCCAGCAGCTTCACTCGGATGTGAAGGTGCTTCTCCTGCATTCTAGCGGATGCCCGTGCCGCTGTTACTGAGAGTGTCTGCCCAGGCTCCAGGGTGCTCACCCCTGCTGGGGTCGGGCTGCCCAAGCGTGTCCCCGGAGTCTGCAGGACTCTGTATGTTCCTTCTATCTCCCCCATTCTCCACCAGCTAAGAATGAAGAATCCTTTAAAACAAAGCAAAAACCCCCAAAGAGTCATCAATGATTATTTAGATATTAAAACAATGGTAAAAAATTATCAGATGCACAGGAATTCTCTGCTCTAGTTTTGCAACTTCTAGACAGTCATTTACATCAGAACAGAGTTAAGATTACCTTCTACTCACACATAAATTGGTGGAGCATAAAATACCAAGCACTGTCCCCAAAGACAGTATTTCCTGGTGCTTCTGCAAGCCAGGCAGTGCGTCACCTTATTGAACTCACAAAACCTCATCCAGCAGTGGCCTGTCCCTTTGTCTGGCTGCCTAGAGTCCCCCAGCACATCCTCTCTCCATCAGCCCAGAGAGTCACTGTGCCAACCACACACGATTAAGTGCTAGATGGTACATTTCAGCAAAGAGGAGCAGGTGCCACACACACCAGGAAGCACATGGCTGTGCTGGGGGACAGGGAGGCGAATGCCAAGAACAGCAGGTGAGGACAGCCAGGCTGCTCTTGGCCAGCTTTGCACTCCCTGGTTTTTGAAGTGGTGTCTTATCAGCCTCCACAGGTGCTGCCAGAGTGACATAAGGACCCTGCCTGGTGTGACGAGAACTTGCTCCAGGCCAGGTCCTTCCCAGCACCACTTACCTGCCCTCACAATGTCCCTGTTCTCACCACCCACCACCCGCCGAACACATGTCAACACGGATGGCCCAGCGAGGCACTCATGCCCTTTTCAATCCTCCACATTGTACCATGGGAAAGGTCTCTAGTTTCAGGCTATTAAGTTGAATGGGGTTAATCACGTTACTATTTTTAACAAAGAAAGAAGAGGCTAAGTATCAGCTAGAATCTAATAATTATGGCTTGCTTTTCTTTGTATAATATAGTTTCCTTCAGTTTATGGCAAATTTTTTTCTTAAATGTGTGTATTTGTGTTTGAAAGTCAATTTCAAGAAAAACATTTAACAGTAAAACATAGTATGGCAAAAAAAACAAATGCCAGATGTTAATTCAAGAAATAATGGAGTTGCTACAAAAACTATTTTATTTCATTCAGTTGCCTTTGGCAAGCCTCCTACTAATTTGAGGTAATTTTAATAGAGAATTAATCTCACTAATTTCCAATCCATTCCCTCATGCTCCAACCTAACTGCTGAGTCCCCTGACCCTTTCATGCTTATTTTGTTATCGAGAAGAACCATCTCATGAACTTTTGTCTCTTGAATTAAGTTTAAAAGCCTCTCAGTCACCTGCCAAGCAACCTCTGCTGCACACTTAAAGCCTATCCAGCAGGGGCGCCTGGGTGCCTCAGTGGGTTACGAGTCTGCCTTCGGCTCAGGCCATGATCCCAGGGTCCTGGGATCAAGCCCTAAATCAGGCTCCCTGCTCAGCAAGGAGTCTGCTTCTCCCTTTCCCACTCCCTGTGCTTGTGTCCTGTCTCTCAATATGTCTCTCTCTGTCAAATAAATAAATAAAATCTTAAAAAAAAAAAAAAGAAAAGAAAAGATAGCCTACCCAGCGAAGACAAGGCTCCCAGCTCACATGAGCGTGAACTTTCACAAACATGTGATTTATCAAACAAGCAGCAAAACACAAGAAAGCCAAAACCCTCAGGGGCAGTGAACTGGTAAAGGAGTGAGCAAAATGACAAGGCGGCATGTGGGTTCTGCCAGATACACCTCCCACCCCCATTCCTGCACATGAATGGGCTGCTCCTGGTGGACAGACATGTTTGGATCACATTCATCTCCGAATTCTCTCTCCAGGTTGTATGTAAGCTGAGAGCAGGAACTAATACCTACTGTGAATGTCTGCTAAGCATTTACTTAAGTCATGGTACTGACATCAAAGAAACATGAACTGCCTCATTAGGCAATGCGCTGTACAGACGGCAGCAGCGGAAGGCCACGACTATGGTCACAAATAGAACACATTAGAAGATCACTAATATTCATGCTGGTAATATTAAACGTGGGATATAGGAGGTTCTGAGAACCCTAAGTATGACATTTTCATTTCAAATTCACAAACGTGAGTAGTTAATGCAAAAGGGAGGGGAGGGGAGTGAGGAACACTCCACCTGTAGGGTGTGTGCCACGTGCAAACAGAGGAGTGTGAGTCCTGGGTCTGCTCCCGGCATTCACCCGTGACTGATGTACCAAGAGCAGGTCCTTCTGAAGGAGCCAGGGGATGTTTTACCCTGGGCACCAAACTGATTCTTCCCCTTGAAGGAAAGCTACAATTCTGAAAATACATATACAACCAAAACCTATTTTAAGAAGTCACTTCTCTCATTTATTCTATTGTATATTCTCATTTAGATTTTTTTCTTAATAATTTTAGATGGAAGAAATGACTTGACAGAATTTACTTTGTTGTGCCTCGTGCGCTTATAAATATTAAAAGGGCAAGAGTATGCAAGACAGACTAGAAACACAGCAAGGCCACTAATAGCCCTTGGCACGGGAGGTACTCTGCAGCCCTGGGAGCCCTCCACGGTAGACGTGGGTCCCTGCTCACCTCTCCTGCTGCCCGAGAACCTCTCCAGAAATCTAGAGGGAAGCCGTGATGTAAAGAACCAGGGCTGTACAAGGGATTCCAGTTTATTTTCCCATCTTCCTTCCGTGTGAATGAAATGCCTTGCAGTCTTCATTCCTAAAAATATTTCTGTAGCTGGATACAATTTCTAGCACTGACATTTAATGCTACCATAAACTTAGCTTCTAAACGGATTTAATAAAAAATTTAAAAACCACCTTGTCACATATTTCCATCTTGAAATTGGAAAAATTCAGCTCAGAAGTCTGTCAAGACTTTGGGTGATGACATGTCAAAGGTGTGTCTGTCAGGGGTGGGATGCTGACAGTGGGAACAGCTGTGCCTAAGAGGGACAGGGGCATTCGGAGATCTCTGTACCTACAGCTTGACTTGGGTGTGAACTCAACACTACTCTCAAAAATAACGGCTAGGGGTGCCTGGGTGGCTCAGTGGGTTAAAGCCTCTGCCTTCGGCTAAGGTCATGATCCCAGAGTCCCGGACTCGAGCCCTGAGTTGGGCTCTCTGCTCAGCGGGGACCCTGCTCCCCCACCCCATCTCTCTGCCTGCCTCGCTGCCTACTTGTGATCTCTGTCTGTCAAATAAATAAACAAAATCTTTAAAAAATAATGGCTATTAAAAAAAAAAGCCTGCCACAGAACACATAACACAGAAGTGACAGAGCCATGACTCAAGTCCAGCCTGGACTTGGCCAAGAAGCCTCCTCCCTGTCTACTGGAAAACCTGGCTTCCCAGGAAAAAGCACAGTCCATGCTCTGCCATAAAGGGAGTGGGCTTAAAATTCTGTCGTGCAAAAACAACACCTACCTCCCTTGAAATATTTTCAGTTACCTCTTTCAGGAGAATTATAAATCATATATCTATACTGACCAGGAAACAGAACATGATGCTTATTTTCACTGCATTTTTCTTAAGTACCTACAATGCACAGCAGTGCTGGCCACAAGCGCTCAGATGGAGTTCTCACCCGGCTCCTGGGCCCTGGTCTGCATCATGTCTTCATTACAGCTAAGTGAGAGACAGGTCCTTTTATTCCCTAACCAGGACGTTTTTTGAAACAAGCAACTAGGTACTTAAATCAATGTAAGGAATGAGAAACAACAATGTCGGAACTAGTGCTGTAAGGCAGCACCTCCCAGGGCTGACAAGGGACGGCTGGCCAGACAGAGGGCAGGCAGGCCATCCACAGCCATGTGTTGCACAAACACACCCCTCCTCCAGAATACAGCTCCCCCGGCCCCTGGAAGGTGACTTGGTCGGATCACCACAGAAATGGCATTTGGTGCTGGAAACCTGGGGAGAAGAGTGCTGTAGGACTCTTGCACATGCTGCCCCAGCAGGTGCTCCAGAATGCTGTGTTACCTGTGGGAAGCCTAAGGACCAATGAGGACCTGAATCTCTGGCATCGCAGCCCCTCAAACACGAGGAAGGGCAGCCCACACTGGCAGCAAGGTGTCCAAGCTGGGATAAAAAGGCAGACCCTGTGGGAAACAGGGAAGTGCAGATCAGCAGCCTGGGTAGAAGCTAGAAGGCAGGACACCTGGGATCTAACTCTAGCTCTCACTTCCCCACTACTGGCCCACTTTTTGTTCTGGAAAATGATAGGGGGAGAGTATGGTCAATCACATCCTCTTCACTCTAAGAATCTCTGAGTTTGAGAAAGACAGCTCAGTGTAAAGGTAAAATGCAAGGAGATGTGCTCTTGATTCCAACTAATTTATAGTATTTACTAGCCAAAATTAAGTACCTGATAAAATCCTGTTATCCCATCTTTCATACCTAACCATATGAGATAGAGGCCAGTGTATGTACGAAAAGGAACATTACTTTCAGACAAATTCAACACAATATAAACATATTATTGGTGCAGAGAAATGACTTTGGACATAACCAGTATTTGCAGACCTTACAATTTACTTGCTAGGTTTTTAAAGGAGTTGCCTTAACAATAAACAGATGTCAATAATTCAGACCATCAGATATTCTGACTCAATGTTAAACAAAATTCTATTGACTGAAAAACAAAGTGTTGTGTTTTTGTTTTTTTTTTTTTTTTTTAAAGCTCCATGTCCACCTGTGAGCCCAGTGTGGGCCTTGAATTTATGACCCTGAGATCAAGACCTAAGCTGAGGTCCAGAGTCAGATGCTCAACCAACTGCCTTTGGCACAGGTCATGATCCTGGAGTCCCAAGATCAAGTCCCACATCAGGCTCCCAGCTCCAGGGGGGGTCTGCTTCTCCCTCTGACCTTCTCCCCTCTCATGCCCTCTCTCACTCTCTCTCAAATAAATAAATAAAATCTTAAAAAAAAAAAAAAAAAAGGCCTCTGCCTTCGGCTAAGGTCATGATCCCAGGGTCCTAGGGTTGAGCCTCGCATCGGGCTTTCTGCTCAGCAGGGAGCCTGCTTCCTCGTCTCTCTCTGCCTCCCTCTCTGCCTACTTGTGATCTGTCTGTCAAATAAAT